AATCTGAATTGTTCTATGATTCTGTGATTCTTTTGCAATTCTCAAGGATTTGGAATAGCATCAGTATTAATATCTTTAGGGATCATCTATCACTATTGATACAGAAGCTCATTCTTTGTGAAAATGTAAGACAGATTTTATTTTTGTTTCCTAGTAAAGGCAGTTGAAGGAATCAAGCATATCCATAAGACAGAGAAAATCACCATATATGAACTTTGGAGACAGGAAATTGATCTAAAATGCTATTATTCCTCTCAGCAGAACATGACAAAGATGCTGTTGCTTGTATTGAGCAGAGGGGGTGCAGGGGGATATTAGGAGGAAGGAAGAAGGATGTTACTGTTTGTTTTTCAATAAAAAATAGGATTATAAAAATTCGTCAGGGCAACTTTTTGATTATGACCAATTTGCTGCAATTAATGAATTATTTATGCAGTGTATTTTTTGTCAATAACTTCCACAAGTTACCAAGACCAGTATACATGTTATATTTGGAATGAGTGAGTTAGACTGACTTACTGAGTGTGTCTCTCTAGGGTCTGATGCTGGTCAGTATCAACACGGAACACAAACCATAATGCTCAGGCATATGGAAAGGAAATTTTGTAAATACAGAATTTCACAAATTCCGGAACACATCAAAAGTTTTGACTGCATTTTAGTGAAACACCGAGGAATCTTGGGGAAGTTTTAGACTTGCAGATTTGTCTAATGTATATCAACTAGTAATATACTTTTCAAAATATAATATATAGAAGACTAGTGTAAATAGTTGAATTATTTTTAAAATATGGCTTATTCATATACTTTTGTGGCAGTATTTCCATTTTTTCCAGATCAGAAGGCCCAAGTCTTGCCCTCCATAGGAATGAGATCAAACTGCTTCAAAAGAAATTATATTAGGTGATGTTGACTCATAGAATCATAGAACGTGTTGGGCTGGAAGGGACCTTTAAAGGTCATCTAGTCCAACCCCCCTGCAGTGAGCAGGGACATCTTTAACTAGATCAGGTTGCTCAGAACTCCATCAAGCCTGACATTGAAAGTTTCCAGGAATGTAGCTTCTGCCACCTCTCTGGGCAACTGTTCCAGTGTTTCACCACTTCCATAGTAAAGAACATCCTCATGTCAGAGTTTCTCTTTGCATGCATTCTGATGTTGGAAATTGAACTCTTCTGGCTAAATAATGCTAGTTTTAATTGTGATGCAATTTATATTGCTGCAAGGTCCCTGGAGAGCCTGCAAGATAAGGCACATGCTGCCAAAGTAAGCCTGTTATTGCTGCTGCTTCTGTCACTTCAAAATACAGATCAAGATTCAAGAGTAGCAGTTGATTATGAGTGATTCCTTTACCCAAGTAATATGATTGACATGCTAGAATCTCTCTGAAAGCTCAGATAGGTGTTTTTTTTTTCCCTTGAAGCGTCCTATAAATTGTTATACTGGAGTTGCAGGAAGAATGCTAGTTATAAGGGAAGCCAAAAGCAGTAGTGAAAATTTTATGGGTGGTTTGTTTTCGTTTTTTTTTTCAACATGTAGTAGTTTCAACTTTTCAACAAAGACTTTGTTCCAGAGAATGTCCCATCCCAAGACCTTTCTCTCTGAGCACACAACACCAGCTGTAACTCGGACAGTAATTTGGGGCCAATTCTCCCTCTTTGTTACTGCTCAGGTCAGGATGACATCTGCAAGCCTTAAGTCCAGAAGGGTATGATTAGTACTACTTACCTGTTTTACTTCTCTAACATCTTGGCTCCTCAGACTGTTGTGCGTTATTTCTATGTGGTACTGTGAGTATTCTAAAAGCAATTTCTAGCTGCCCCTCAGAATTTCTTCAGTAGTGCAGACAGGATGTATTTGAAGTCATATTCTCTCTTCTTGTCTGCACCTATACATGAGACATGGGAAAATTTTTGTTACACAATACACAAACATTTGATATTTATGTAAATTTTGTATATCTAAACTTAAGATTCCATGGAATGTGCTCGAGATTATGTATTCTTTTCCCGTATATTTTTGGTATCCTAACAATTCCTCTTCAAGTGTTTAAAAATTTATGTCTCATACCTAAGAGCAGGAAGCTTTTTTGGGCTATTTCACAGCTGACAAAAGTCCTTTTGTCTTTCGTAATGAACATGATTATCTATTTGGAGTTCTACAAATGTATTTATCCCTGAGCTTATATACTCTGTGGGGTCTTAACAGTAATCACTGTAATATTCACACAGAGAACTCTCAAGAAATTTAGCTTCTGAACATACATTCCTTGACTTAATTTGAAGATTCTGAAAAGTGCTCTCAAAAACCTTCCTCAAGTATAGCTTCTTGACTTTAAATAGTTTTTCATTAAGCCAGTCTCACTGGGGAAAATGGAATACTTAGAGAGTTTTAGTGTTGTATAGGCACAACTTACAGTCACCTTGATACGACTAATCCCAATGTATTTGTCAGCCAAGTATCACTTCTACATCAAAATTCCGATCTTGTCCCACTTCCTTGCTGTGATAGTTCAAGGGTTCCTGTTGCATTAAAATCCAGTACCTAAGAGAGAGCTCTTGTAATAACCTGGCAGGTAGCTGCATTAGTGAAAATACCAAGTAACAAAAGTGAGAGTGCTTCTATTATGTTTCTACCTAGGCAGTGCTTCTGAGATCCACACTATAGATCTGTGTTCTGGTTTGGGTACTTACGTTTCAATTTCCGTGACTTTTAAAAACGTTGATTGGATCGCTCCATTCTGATTAAGCCTATTCAGAAATGCCTTCACTGATCTAGGAAAGTGTTGCAAGTTTTGACATAAAGTTGGATTTAATTTCTGTTTGCAGACTTTGTGATTGAATATGAAGATGGGCTGCATGAACCAGGGGTATGGCATTACCAGACGGAAGTTCCTGGAACTCAGACAACAGTGCAGTTGAAGTTGTCTCCGTATGTCAACTACTCATTCCGCGTGATAGCTGTCAATGAGATTGGCAGGAGTCAGCCAAGTGAACCATCTGAGCAGTACCTGACAAAATCTGCAAGTAAATAACTATTTCTGCTCATTGCTGATTGATTTATACTGTGAATGGCACTGAGTTAGTTTGGAATGCAAACAGCAGTCATTCTTATTCACATGTAAATATTTTATTTTTAGATCCTGATGAAAATCCTTCTAATGTACAAGGGATAGGCTCAGAACCTGATAATTTGGTAATAACATGGGAGGTAAGTGTTTGCTTTCAGGTCTGTGAGTAGCATTCTTTTTTGAGAAATAGTGATGATTTGTGAACACGTTGTGAGAATACCCAAAGCATTGCTTGCCTAAATCATTCTTGAAGAAGAGTGAAATCCAGACATTTTCCCATCATTATTTTCAGGGAAAAGCTACATGCATTATAGAAAAAAAAAAGTTAAGATGCTGTATTTTCCATGAGTGATTTCCCAAGATAAGCCGTTAATTTGGTAATACAGGATGTTTTGCTGCCAATTTAGGAGAACTTATATATATAAACTGAGGTTTATCTCAAGTAGAGTCTTCTTTTTGGAATTAATTGTAATGTGTATACTAATTCTACTAATTCAACTAATTCAACTAATTCTACTAATTCAACTTTTGTAATAAACTAAATTATCATACATTCTACCACTAAAAAACTTTTGTGGAGAAGTTTAATCTGTCATTCCCTTACCATCATGACAGGATCTCAAGGAGATAGATGTAAAACCAATTTCCCATCCCAGACGAGAAACCTTTTCTAGGGAACACTGTTTTTAGGGAGTTGGTGTAAGTCTGGTTTTCCCTCTTCCTCTTCCTAAGAAATATTGTCTTCTGAAAACAAAATTTATATAGAGATATCACAATGTATAGTTGCATGAGAATTAACCATGCTCACCATTCAATGTGATTTTTACAAATGAATGAAGAGCAACTGAACTGACCTCCTGTAAAAGCTTGGAAATTTTAACAGTGCTTCTCTATCACAGAACACAGTGGTAAATTTTCAGTAAAATTCTAAAGAAGACTGAGCGTATTCCTTTTGTGACTTTGGATTTTTCAGATGCTTCAGAATGTTTTAAAATATATTTCTTTTCATTTCAGTCTTTAAAAGGCTTTCAGTCTAATGGACCGGGGCTTCAGTACAAAGTCAGCTGGCGTCAGAAAGATGTTGATGATGAATGGACATCAGTTATAGTTGCAAATGTATCTAAGTATATTGTGTCTGGTACACCAACTTTTGTCCCTTATGAAATAAAAGTACAAGCTTTAAATGACCTGGGATATGCACCAGAGCCATCAGAGGTGATTGGACATTCAGGGGAGGACTGTAAGTTTCGTAGTTTGACTCAATTGTTTTAGTTAAAAGCTGCTAAATGTGTAATCTAAAATATTGAAAAAGGGAGATAGTAGACTTGGTTTTTTTAATTACAATTAAGTCACTTGGAAATCACAAGGATTCATGATACTCTGTACTATTCATCTTGAGGTCAGCTTTTTGACATAGGAACGGTTTAGCCTACTCCTTGAATGCAATGCAAAGACTCATTCTGAAAAAGTATGTTCGTGTGTTTTCTCATTCTAACTTGTTGCATCCTTTCCCCATAGTGCCAATGGTTGCTCCAGGCAATGTGCAGGTTCATGTTATTAACAGTACGCTAGCAAAGGTGCATTGGGACCCGGTTCCAATAAAAACTGTACGAGGACACCTCCAAGGGTACAAAGTAAGTACAGTCTAAAGCATTCTGTTTCTCATTTATTGAAACACATCACTCTCCCTGTATGAGATTGTATCCAGATTGAAGTAATTGACATACAAAAGGAATCTTGCTTCTCAGTGAGCTCACAAGTTCTGCTGGCAAGAGCAACAGCATTGATAGAATTAATTCAAAGTTCAGCAGAGTTCCAGCCTTGTAGCACTATCCTCCTGTGACTGTCCTTGAAGAGAAATGGGAGGTATTTGCAATTAAGCTTGCACACTTTATATAGATTAAGAAGATGACAATTTTACAGATCTTATTCCAGAAGGTTATTTAGAGGATGAGGAGGAATAGTTTCTGTAGGAGTCTCTTCTAGGTCTAATGCTAAGATTACTCATTTTCTGCCATAATATGATTAATCACATTTTTAATTCTGAGTAACTAGCCACTTCCTATCTTATGCTGGGTGCTCTGTCTTTCTGGAGACCCGGAAAAAGCTGAGTTTAAAAGCTCAATTTAAGGAGATAAGAAATAGCAGATGAGTTGGAGTGTACATATAATTGAAGGAGGCTTAGTGTAAGATAATGTACTGGCTTTGATGATAACTGAGAAGACTGTGTTGGAGACAGAAGCATGCAGTTAATACAAAATGGGAAGCAGAAGGACTTCAAGGTTAGAAATTCAGGGAAAATCTGATGGCAAAAGTTGCTTCACAGGTTGCACTAGAAGCCCATCAGGGGTGGAAACTGCAGCAGCATGGTAGGCTGGTTGCAGAGAGAAGAGTGAAATGAGGATATACTGACTTCCTAGGCAACAGGAGAAGAAAATAAGAGATAATTACTTCTTTACTTCTCTGCAAGTATACTAATAAATATGTTCTAACAAAATGGTATGATTTTTTTTTTCTGTGGGGAGAAGAACAACACAGTTACAGATAGCTAAGCAAAACTGAAGCTATAAAATAAGTTAGTCAATAGTCATAAATAAAACAAACTCAAGTACAAAGGACTGACAACAGACCTGACCACTGAGTAGTCTTACTGTTATGGCTAGGATAAACATGACAGTGGTATATTGTTGGATAACTTGTGGGTGGCAAAAAAGTTTCTTAAATATTTTTTCAGATAGAGCTAAATGAAGCTAAAATAGCTTAAAAACTAGACAAGACATGACAAGTCCCAAGACCTGGTGTATAGTTTCTATTATAAAGCTTTCCCTGAGTAGAAGCTGAAAGCTTTTCATGGATGCAGAGTACACTTTAAATGTCTTAATCATTGTCATAGCTTACAAAGCACATGACTATCTCTTTTTAAACACATCAGCAAAATCTTACTAGCAAACTCAGGCTTTCCGTATTAATAAAATTATTTCAGACCAATATGCGGTATTGCATTAGGGATATATTTCTTAATAAAGAGAGGGGTGTTTTTGTAAAGACTCATGTTGTGAAGACAAGAGTGTGAACAAAGCAGGAAGACATCTAGCTAGCAGCAGTCTATAGCGCATCACTCATATTTTTCTTTTGTATTAATCCAGCTGTCACTTGATATTCTGTGGTATTATAAAGCATTTCAAACCTAACAAGAATTTTCTAAAAGAATTCATTGGTACTGCTTCCATTTTTCCTGTTATTAATTCAGTGGTTATTGAATACAGTGAAAAATGTGATGTGATGTCTTTTACTGTTATAATCCTCTTCCAAATCACTGCATGTCAAACCCAGTTTATTAAAGCTCTCTTAATTTCAGCCTAGCTAATGACAAGTGATTACCCAACTATAATAATGTGGTTTGTGAAACATTGCTGGCTAACAGTCTTAAAAAAACATGAACTATACCTTAGGAGTTTCAATACTAATAGTACCAACACTTCAAGCTTTTGTTAGCTCATAAATGGCTTTCTACACTAGGATGAGAGCTACAGGATGACAGCTGACAGTGTTGAAAAACCTTATCTCAAGCCATGTAAAACACAGTGGCATTTAACAGCGATTAGAGTGAGATGGTATGTTGTTGGCCATAGAAAGCTGGTGTTAGTGTAACATTGCTGTGTAAGCTATTGAGTTGGCTTTGTAAGTCTTAACAGTTCCCTTTTGTGAATTCATATGTGAAATCCCAGCTTCCTTAATTAAAGAGGTCTTTTGCAGTTGGTCTGAATGGAACCAGAATTTTATCCGTTTATATTGCTGTATCAGTTTTAGCGTACAGTCATACATGCATGAAAATTATGCTCTGAAAAATGAACAATGGTGTATTTGAAGCTGATAATCCTAGGAGTAACCCAAGTCTTTGTAAGGACAACTCTTAATATGTTTCCAGTTATCATAGTAGAGAGACTGTGTAGTAAAAAGAGTGCAGTCAAGGTAATTACCTCTCAGGCTCATCTGTAGTTTCTTAGAAACTTAATCAGCAAAATGGACACCAGAATCAGCTTTGTGATCTGATCTAATTGTCACATAAATGGAGAAATAGTCTTCTTTTCCCCAGGTGGAGAACATTCCATGACTGTAATCTCAGCAGCCTTTCAGAACTTCTGTGTTTCTCCAGCCCAGACAAATCTTTTGGTTTCTTTCCCATTCAAAAGTATCTTTTTGGCTTCCATATCACAGGGAATAGCCTGGTCAGGTGTGTGACAGAGCAAGGTGGCAAAATGCAAGCTGTGTAAATATCTAACTGAAAGAATGAATGATATGAAGGAGTCCTGCCCCTCAGATGGACTTGCTAACACAAGAGTTATCATGTACTTGCAGTTCCAAACCAGAACTTGTGTCAAACTGGTTTTGAACATTAACAGAAGTGGCAGGTGATAGTCTTCACCCAGTTGTGCAGGCATGACTGTTTCAGGACAAGGTCTGTTTCTGAAGCAGGAAAGCTCTATGTTTTTTTGCTCATGAGCTTATTAAAATTTCAGTTATTCCTACCTATAATTCACGGATACTCATGGAAATGCTTAGTGTTGGTAAATTCAGAACACCTAAACACTCACTCTAGATTTTCTTTTGTCTTTAGGTTTACTACTGGAAAGTGCAGAGTCTATCCAGAAGGAGTAGGCGGCATGTAGAGAAAAAGATCTTGACTTTCAGGGGAAACAAGACTTTTGGAATGTTGCCAGGGCTGGAGCCCTATAGTTCTTACAAGCTGAATGTTAGAGTTGTTAATGGTAAAGGAGAAGGACCAGCAAGCCCAGACAAAGCGTTTAAGACCCCTGAAGGAGGTATGAAATGAGAAAGCTAGAGAATAACTTAAATGTGGTATATTCAGAAATAGAATACTAAGGGTGTAGTTGCTGAATTTGTGTTTTGAACACCATAATATAATAATCTGTCTCGTGATAGTAATATCCTTAAGAATTAATAATTTGTGAACTGTCTTAAGTTAATCTCCTTTTTATTTACTGTATATTCTTCTTAAAAGTTCCTAGCTCACCCTCCTTTTTGAAGATCACTAACCCAACACTGGACTCTTTGACTCTGGAGTGGGGTTCACCTACCCATCCCAATGGTGTTTTGATATCATATATACTGAAGTTTCAGCCAAGTAAGTTAATTATGAATATATAACTCAGAGAATATGTCGGCCACATAGCAATCCATTTATTAAGAAAAAGATCTGTTATATTTTAATGTACAAAAGACATGATTGCATTGTTGATGTCAAGTTTGAAAAAGATTAAAGTGTTTTGACAATATAGGTAACTGGAAAACTTCACTTGCTCAAGAACAAGGTTCGCATTTTTCTATTACTTTTGTTTCTTTAAGCCATGCTTCGCAGAAAAATGGATGTGAAGGCCTATATATCATTGATAGCCACAACTTGGAAGCAATATGCTACTACTTACAAATCCTATATTGTAACTGCAGAGAAAATCTCTTTAGAAATAGTTTAAATCCATCAAACAATTTTATTGTTGTTTCCTTCTTCAGTTTTCATGATATTTTAATTTTAAAATGAAAATTCATAAATGTGAAATTTACTCATAACAGAGCTATAAATTACTTCCTTAGGATCCCCGTGCTGCTGCTTATTTGTCCAGAATTTTTTCAGCAGTGGCACTAGAAATTTTTTAAGAGTTTTGTGTGTATGGAACAGATGAAGGAAATTCGTTTTCTTCCACTGTTCCTTGGCATTAGATTGTAGAATCATAGAATTGTCAGGATTGGAAAGGACCTTAAAGATCATCTAGTTCCAACCCCCCCACCATGGGCAGGGACATCCTCCACTAGACCAAGATGCAAGTCACTTCAGTATTTTTTTTCCTAAGCATACTCAATTTATTATGAGGCAGCTTGTTCGAGTTTCAGAATTTTCTAATGATCAGTGTCTCAAATGTGTGTAATTTCAGATCATTTGATATGAACTAAGTTGCCTTGGCTATCTGTGAGAATGGAACTTGAACTTTAAAAATTTGTAGCTGTTTCCTATCTCCTTGTGGAATTTTGGCCCCTCACATAGCTCCTTTTTGCAGAAAAGTGACTTTCTTATGAAACTGTAAATTGGCATTCATACAACCTGAAATGAATAATATGTTACCTGATCTAGCTGAGAGGCATCCCTGCTCATGACAGGGAGGTTGTATTAAATGATCTCTAAGGTCCCTTCCAGCCTAGGCCATTCTATGATTCTATGATTCTATGCAGCAGACAAACAAAACAAATAAATATAAACCAAAAAAGCACCTGTTTTAATGCAGTGGTCGTGTTTTTTTTTTAGTTTTCCTAACTCTTCTCTTTTCTCTTGTAACACAGTTAACAACACACATGAATTGGGTCCCTTGGTAGAGATAAGGATTCCTGCCAATGAGAGCAGCATGATATTAAAGAATTTAAATTACAGTACACGATACAAGTTTTACTTTAATGCACAAACTTCAGTTGGATCAGGAAGTCAGATAACTGAGGAAGCAGTAACAATTATGGATGAAGGTAAGATGGGTATGTATAAAAAAGCCCACTGAGTTTAAAAAACACCATAAATTTTATTTAAAATATTGCTACAACTTCCTTCCATTAATAAAATAGCCCCTAGTAAGCTTTTTTCCCTAGAGCTTTCTTAACTGTATTATACACTAAAAAAAGATTTTAAATCGTTTTTAGGAAAAGATATGCAGAGGTTTTCTACTGTAGTGGAGGCCCTAAAAGATGTGTAAAACCCCTACTTTTGATATAAATTTACAAGTTCTAAGACTGGCTTTTCTGGGCTTCAGAGTTTCGAGTAACTTTGCATTTTAAGTAGTCGTCCTCCATTCACCTACTCTGCTTCATTGCCCTGCTCTGGTCACAGAGAACAATACTGAAATGATGCAGCTTTGTGGCAAGAGGAAAATATTTCTCTTTTGAAGTATGCAACAGCTTCTGTGAGTTCTAAACTTTTTTTCACAGAGCTGGCAAAAACTGTAACTTCCAAAAAAGTGCAGAAATAAATTTGTAACCTATGGTCCCAAATAACTGGCGACATATAATATTTAAAAACTCTTAAGTATGTTTTTCAGTCCTGTCGCTATTGATGTTTACATTTGTAGTCATTCTAGTCTCTGATTTTGGCAGTTCTGTTGTTGAAACTGTTATTTATTTAAGCATGAAAGCTTAATAATATAAGAGTAATTTCAAGCAAAAGGGAAATTTTGGCAGGAAGTCTGTTATGATTTTGCACATCTTAATGTTAAGTCTATTGATACCATCTTTTCATGTATGTTTATGCTTAGTAAAATCATAGTTTATTGGAATTGCCATAGATGAGTTGGTATACAACGAAAGTTCTCTAATAGTGTACTAAGGTTGCATATGAGTCACATTTATTTTAAACCGTGAATCTTAACAAGCATGAGCGATAAAATTTTGTAAACGCATGTATGTTAATTTTTGTCTTGTAATATAGTCTGTCAATGTTCAGCTTAAGTGGAATGTTTCTAATTTATTTGAATTAATAACTTTTATCTAGTCTGCATGTTTTTCTAGTTTATAATGAAATTATGTATGTATGTTCCCTTTGGTGTTGTATCTAATTATATAGTGTTCCTATTCTTGTTTTCCTCCGTTAAAGCTGGTATTCTCCGTCCTGCTGTAGGTGCAGGCAAAGGTAAAATTAAACTGCATGATTTGTTAATGTGTGGATTTTGCAGTGTTGCAAATGGGGAAATTGCAGTGGTAAGGACAGAAAATCTTGAACTACACATTGCTATACAAAGTATTAATCAGTGCTGGAAGAAAACATTTGTGGGTTTTATTGGGTTTTTTTGTTTATTTTTTTTCTTTTTTTTAAGGGATCCAGAACGCTTATTAACACTTTTCATCTGTTTATTTTACCACAGAGTTCCAGGGGAATTCATTAGCTTTGCTTCAGCAAAGTCTAATTATTTCTGAACATTTAACAGATGTATGTCACTCTCATAAATATTCAGGATCCAGGTGCGCTAGCACTGATTAGCTGGAGTAGAGAAAAAACTACACTTTTGCGAAGGAGATTTTTTTACTGCCTGTGCCATGTGCATTTTTTTGTTTCAAAAGAAGTAGGTGTGTTCCTTTTCTCACTGCTGATTAATGCTACCCATTTGAGCACATTTATTTCACTTGCAAGCCAGCCATGCATAGGAGACAGATGACTGACAATCCCCTCTGTATACTTCTCAGTTTGGGTATCAGATTGAATACAGAGGCAAGTGGCTTCCTGCTGCCTTAGTTTCCCAGATACTGAGTGAATACTTGAGGACATTTCAGAGAGTGGAACCTATTATCATCCTTACTCTTGAATTCAGTAATACTTAGCTCTGTATGCCGCAGTTCTTCTGTCAAACAAGGTGTTCTTCGTGTTTTCGCACACAGTTTTTATGAATTTTGATACTGTCAGAAGGAAAGATTATCCTGAGGTAGCTCTAAGTCAGAGGGTATCTCTGAATGTATGTGTCATTCTATCAGAAGTGTTATTAACAGTAATGAACACCTGTGCTTCAGATTCTCAGATCATAAACATCCCAAATTAAAATCTGTACATGAAATATCCAGCATTTTTTACAAACTTGGAAAAGACAGCAGAAATTTTTTTACATATATTTTCTTTCCAGTTGGTGATCAGGTGCTTTGAATTGTAGTAGCCATAAAAAAGAACTTAATTCACTCAATCTGGTATAAATCAGTCTCGCTATATATATGTATGCATGCATGCAGGCATTTGTGCATATATGATGTATATATTGGCATAGTCTAATATCATATGCGTTTCTGTTAAGTGTATGGAGTTGTGGATTTATTTTAATGACAAGTCCTTCTTACTGCTTTTTAGCCAGTTGTAGCTGAGAAGTCAGCATAGATAGGAATAATCAAACTGGCTTTTAGTCCTGGACATTAACAGCAGAAATGCAAATTAAGGTCTCATTATTTATAGCTGACAATAAAAACCTCATGCAAGGAAAACTGGAGGTCTAATTATAGCTGTATCAGAGTCTAGGGCTAGCAGAAAGCATCTTATTTGTAAGATCAGCTGGAGCAGCTCACGTTTCAGAGCTGTCATCTCAGATTCTCTGAAAACTAAGCAGATGTCTTTGTTTGGTTCCGTGCCGTTTATGGTTTCAAGATTTTCACATATTCCTGTAACATCTAACTCTTACAATTGCAAAGAAAACTTTGGAACTGCAAGCAGGGTGGAACTAAAGCCCTGACATCTGTTAGGACATCTGAGTTGCTGCAGGTCTGAGATGAATGTTCTCAGTGGTTACTTACATTAAAGTGATTAACTGTTTCACTACTCATCAGGGACTATGAGGAAGGAAAAGGAGGATCACATTACTAAGATCAAGTGCAAAATATTTTGGTCTCATGAGTGGGTGGATTTGGAAGATAGAAATAGTCGTCCCACTCAAGAAGAAGCCATACCCAGCAGAGAATCTTTACTCCTCTGTTAAGGGCCTATACATATATACAGTTCTTAATAATGTGACCCAAAGCCACTGGAGAAGGTGAACTTTAGATCATAGAATCATAGAATGGCCTAAGCTGGAAGGGACCTTAGAGATCATTTTAATCCAGCCTCCCTGTCACCAGGGCCGCCACCTCTTGACGGGATCAGGCAACACATGGGGACCAAACGGGAATCGAACCCGCGACCTTAGCGTTATTAGTGCCACGCTCAACTGACTGAGCTAACCAGCCCCCTTAAGATATTCTCAACTCTATTGTCATCTGTCAAAAACGTCTCAGTTTTTCATTTTGAAGGGCAGAACTTAGCAGAAAAATAAGCAATTAGCCTTTCTATTTCAATTTGATCACATTCATCTTGGACGTTAAGACAATAGGTCCCAGATTCAGCCAGCCTAAACTGCACTGAGATTTCTGCACTTGGTGTTTTCTGTTGGCTGTCTGCCTCTGGAGACCTGTCAGAAACATTAGACACAATATCTAGGAGGAATTCAAATCATCTAAACCTGGGTGAGACGTGCGACTTAGGGCGTTCATTTCTTCTCAGAGTAAAACTGTATGTTAAAGTGCAGAAGGAAATATTGCTACAGTAAATCTAAGGATCTGAGAATGTCTTGGTATTTTTGTTTAGTTCTGACATACCTTCCCTGTCTCTTGGCACCATATGTCTTTTACCATCTCTTTAGATAGGCATTGGCCCTTCACTGCCTCTTTTTATTACTTTGAAAACAATGAATGTGCCCACAGTGTGCTTGCTGCTGCACTTGACACAATATTTGTCCCACCTGAGTTTGGCTGATTACAATGACTGTACTGGTGTTAAGGAAAGATATCCAGTATATTATAGACCAATAAGTAGAGAAGCAAGCACTGTGCATTTTTCCCATAAGGTAAAATAACAATTTTAGGTTTTTTTTAAAAAAAGAAGTGAAATATGAGGTGAAGGCTGGGGGATTTAGATAAATATTCTTTTCTGTAGCTTGAATAGAACTTAGAAGCTATATTCAAATGGGGGGGCAATATAAGGAAGAAATTATTGTCTCCCTGTAATATGGGCATCATCCTAATTAAAAAGTTCTTTAAACAAACTGACATTTCATCAAGTGGCAGAAATGCAATGGATCTTGATGAATTACAAACATTGAAGCTTTTTTTCTTCTCTAAGGAAAACGTAGTAGAGGAGATTAACCTCATTCTCTCACAAGCCCATATGAGTAAATTGTGAGATATGTTATTTTACGAGATAGGCAGGCTATCCTGTTATAGTTGATACTCCTATTTGACTAGCACTATCTTTTTTCTTTATAATACTGTGCTGTTATGAACTACTTAAATTTAATAAAATTATGGCACTAAAAAGAAAAAATAGTTTTTCTTCTCAGCAGCCAGTATTCTAAATGTGTCTGAAAACTTTACATGTAAAGTATAATGTATTATACCCAGTATTAGATAAGCAGTATGCATTACTATTACTATTTATGTTTTGACATCTAATCATGGGCATCGGGTAACAGGTGTGAGAAAAACTGGGGAATAAGAACCTGATTACATATAAAATAATTATAGTAGCAGCTGGAAAGTGATCACTGGAGTCAAGTCTTTTCTACCCTTTTCCATTAGGAGTTTGAAATAACTAATCTGTAGAGGAAGGAAGAGAATACAAATTTTACCAGTGGTAGAAATGAAATTTGCTGATTGAAATAATCAGTCCCAGGGGCTCGTTACTGTGTTTGCTGTAAGGCAAAGTGTAGGGAGTCACAGGGTGACATGTCTTGTTTCACAAACATCCTTGTTTCACTTTTTAAGTTTCTTTACGATTTAGTCAACACTTTTATTTGAAAGCAAGGTAGTGGCATGCATGCAGACCGTGGCAGCTGGCAGTCCTGAAGTACAATTGAGGTAAGGCTGTGAGATCACAGTTGCTTATAGTTGAAGCTAATGCTTCCTTTCAATGCGGTACTCAGTCTGGTCTGTCTTCATGTCAGCTTCACATCTCAAGCATTATTGACAGAAATACACATGTTGCAGGTGAGAAAAACAAGTAGTCTAGCCTCTGAGTTTGAATGATTCATTTTTTCTGACTGTGTCTCCAATATGTAGCTCTTTACTGTAGGCTAGAAATCATTCTCAGCTGAGTTCATATCTCGATTTCTTGATAGAGGAGAGGTTCATCTCAGTTTTCTTTGTTCTGTAGAAAATGCTTTTCCTTCCCTGCCCACCATCTGTTTTCCCTCCCTCTTTGAATCATTTCACATGGTGTCTCCATATTTTTTGCCAACAAGTTCAAGCTGCTTTTTCTTTGCAAGTTGATTATAGTATTTTGTATTTTGTCTTCAGCCGCTCTCCTTAATCTGTGTGATTCTTTCAGTACATCCTGCTAAACTGAATCAGTTTTGTCCTCTTTTAAGTCTCCTGGGCGCAATGACAATGCTTTGCATGCTAGACTAGAGAAACCAATGATTATTGCAATGCAAACATTCCTGCCAATACCTTTCTCTTCGTAGAAGTCACACATAATCCATGCCATGCTGAATGCGTCTCTGTGAAAGGGTTCCTTGCATTTCTTCTCTCACTTCTGTGTTTCTTGCACTACAGGAATGCTCCTGTAGTGGCCTAAGTAATCTCAGAAGTGACTAATGGCCATCTCTCGCTTGCAGAAAAGGAATTCACTCCTGCGTTATATTAAGGATTGAATTTCATACAGTAGAAGTTGTAGGTTAAAAAGCAAACAAAACCAAAACCTTTCTCTGTGTCTTATAGGCTCTGACGAAATCTATTATCTTTTACCTTCAGCTTTTCTTGTGTGTGGGAGTGGGGTTTTTTCCTTATTTTCCTTTTTATATATACATCTTCACTATTTGTCTGTGCTTTATGTTTTTTTTTTCTCCATAAAACACCAATCTATGAATGCATGCTTGTCACTTATCCGCCCTTTTTCCCCGAAGATCAGGTGATTGCCAGGAATATTTCTAAAGTTTAGTCACTTTGGGGATTAGTTTATTTATTGTTCTGCTCAACTAAATCTTGAGAGAGAGCACCTATTCTGTTGTTAAAACCCGTTCATTCCCCACATCACGTCTTATTAAATTGTATTGAATATGCTGTTTGGAGGAACTGTGTTCCTGAAAGGCTGGAAGATTAAATGCAACTCTACAAAAAACTCCACTAAAAAAGCACTGGAATTAATATGAAAAGAAAGGAAAATTTCGCTTTGAGGCTAGGCCTAAATCAGTCACTTGATGGCATTTAGAAACTAAAACACCAAGGAAATGATGGTGATTTTCAGAGCTAACTTCATTGTTACATATAATCATATAAACAGAAAGACATCTACCAGATACCAGGTCTTTGATCTAGCAGGCAACTCTTTACTCAGAGCAGAAGCTGGAAATTGGATATGAAAAAAAAAACAACAACCCACAAAACACAAGATGAGATGGAGGGAAGGTGATTATGGAATATGCTTAGTGTTACAGAAGCTGTCATCTGGAGTCTTACATAAGACAAGACGAGTGCTTTATCCCCAAACACTCAGACACGAGGAGGGGGAAGTGGAACATCTCCCTTATGAGGAAAGGCTGAAGGAGCTGGGTCTCTTTAGCTTGAAGAAGAGGAGGCTGAGGGGTGACCTTCTTAATGTTCATAAATGTGTAAAGGGCAAGTGTCAGGAGGATGGAGCCAGGCTCTTCTCAGCGATATCCAGTGACAGGACAAGGTGCAATGGATACAAGCTGGAGCATGGGAGGTTCCACAAAAGCATTAGGAGAAACTTTTTCACTGTGAGGGTGACAGAGCACTGGCACGGGCTGCCCAGAGAGGTTGTGGAGTCTCCTTCTCTGGAGACACTCAAAGCCTGCCTGGACGCGTTCCTGTATGACCTGCTTTAGGTGATCCTGCTCTGGCAGAGGGGTTGTATTAGATGATCTTTCAAGATCCCTTCCAACCCCGGACATTCTGTGGTTCTGTGGTTCTGTGATCTGTTTGCAAGAGTTTGGAACTCATTACTGCTAATAGTTTGTTCTGTCTTTGATGGTGATGAGTCATACAGTTGTGCTGCTAATTAGACATTTTTTGTGGAAGAGCAAAATCCAAGAAAATACAGTGTTTGAGAAAACATGATTAATGAAAGAAAACAAAGTCATATTTGGAATACAAACAGGTTCTTTTCTCGGCACAGAACAAATGCTTAGATACTGATTGTAACAAGCACCTGTTCATATGTGGAGATGTGGGAGGAAGTTTATGTATCCTGCCTGCAGTCTCAGACTCCACACCTTTCTAAATTTAGAGCCCACCGTTCTTTCCTCTCTCTACCTTCAAGTGGAACAGAGAAGCAGAATCTAATCCCCTTGCATTACCATAGTGTATATGGTTACATGCCAGATTTCCCACAGCCAGCTCTGGCTTTAGTATTTCTTAAGGGGTTTGTTGTTTACTTAGTAACGTAGATGGCTTTTATAAAAATCTAGTGCTTTCTATTCAACTTTGTTCAGGAGTTTTTAGCCAAGAAATATATTCTTTGTTATTTAAATCATATTTAAATCATATTTAAATCATATATTCCTTGTTATTTTTGGTTGGTGAAAGATATTACATATAAAATACATAAGCACAACTTGCCTCCAAAGACATCAGATGTGGGAGTAATTAGTTTAATACAGACTGAAGAGTTGAATGAGTACTACTGAAATAGAGTTAAGGAGAAGAATATTTCAATAAAAAATCTGATGTTCTTAAAAGTTGTAATCAGAGAATTGATGGAATTTGCACAGTTCAGGTATTTTTTAAAAATACTCAGAAACTATAGTTTGATAGACTTGGTACTCATATTATTTAGTCCATGTTAGGGGGTTGTATACAAATTTATTTTACCATGCCAAAGCGATTTGCTTTTTGAATCTAATTTGGAACTTCTTCCAGTCAGCCATATGGACAGCACCTCTCGCCTTGAGAACAGGCTTTTCCTCATTTTTTTTTTTCTAATGTAGATGATGCCATTGGAATTCTGCTGTTTGTCTTTACTGAGTCTAGGTTTTTACCTCTGATATTTCATGGGAAATATTTTTGGAAATAGTTGGGATATATTTTGAGGAATATTTTGGGAAATATATTCGATGCTCTTTCTAACAGGAAAGATATTTTTAGCAGGATAGAAAAGTCAGTATCAAACCTAGTGAGACATTTTCATTGAAAACTAATTTCGTGCCTTTGAGAAGCATCTTTTATATCTGCGCTGTTACAGTATTAGAGCATCTATTTTTCATTAATATTAGGAAAACAAAAATACCGAAATAATATGTTCCTTTGTAACAAGCGTAATTGGAGAACAAAGAATTAAGGTATAAGCAAAGAAGTGGCTAATTACAGGATGAGAAGTGCTTCTTTTCATAGATGTGGGCATTATGCATATCTGTGAAAAGTCCTGTTGTCTAACAAGAATGTCAGCACTGAGACACAGTACCTTAAATTTATCGGCTTCTTTCATTCCAGTGACTTGTGTCCTTCACTCCAGAATATTTTGATACTGGCTTTCTAATACCTGGCATCTCATGTTCCACTGTCTAAAGGTGCCCTGAATCCGTAATGCTAATGAAGCTGATTTCAGAAATGTTCTGTGGAAGCAAAGGTGCCAGTACACACATATTTCAGTTTGTTTTCAAATACATGTGTATCACTTAGCTGTTTCATATTTTAACACGTAAAACTAATTGAATTCTGCATGAATTTAGAGTGTGCATGTGTTATTTAACAGGTAAGGTTTAACTGTATTATTATTGCATTTTTGACGCAAAGTGTTTTTACTCTTTATTTTCTCTCTCCTACTGTCTCTGATGGTGAAGGATATTCAGAAATCCTTTTTGCAACCTCCCCAGTCATGCACACTGTCCGTCCAACATTCTATAAGGGTATTGTCTTCCGTTTTTTATCATTATTGATGCAATAGAGACAAAATCCTGTAAGGGCTTGCAGTTGAGACATTCCGTGACAGGTGGCATAAATGGAGGTGTGTATGTACCCTCTTCGTAACTCTGTTCTCTCCTACCATTTCTCGTTACTCTGACAATGTCCTCACTTTCCAGCTGTCTGCATTTTACCTCTAGATGAATAGAAATAATGCTTTCCGGAATTTTGGCAATTAGCTATTTTTAAGTATTCGGCAGTTTTTGTGATACAGGGCACGCTCAGTAAAATACATAGATTTTACTTGATAATTTCACTGCCCAGGATTCAGTTAGCAAATACACTACTTTAGTCACTAATTTCCAGTAATGGAAACAATGACAAATGAACTATACTTTCATTGTATGCAGTCTAAAATCACACAGTATTTTTTTTTTAAGTATGAAGTCACAATTTCGTATTCTGCTTTGTTTTTCTATTGTATATTCAGTGCAACCACTTTATCCAAGGATCAGAAATGTTACGACAGCTGCCGCTGAGACCTATGCCAATATCAGTTGGGAGTATGAGGGACCAGATCATGCGAACTTTTATGTTGAATATGGTGTAGCAGGCAGTAAGAAGTCATTTCATTAAATTTTGCTAATGTGTTCAGATATATTTTCAAAGTTTTTAATAGTGAATTCGGTCCTAATCTCACTCAGTGTTGATGATAGCTCTTAAATGTCTAGAAGAATTATTTTTTAATTTAATTGGAAAAGTCAAATAATTTCCCTTTTAATAAGCATAAATGCATAGCAGCTATTGAAGCTTAGAGAAAATATTGACCTTTGTTCCTTTGTATTATTTTATAGATCCTTTTGAACGTGAACTTCTAAAAATGTAGTTTACATGAAGTTCTTTTACAATTATATGTGTAAAAACATGATGACTTGCATCAAAATAGGATACAACATTTTTCCTAAATTATGCCCAATTCAGGGAAAAGTATTAAATAAGAGATACAATCAAAACAATATTTTTGTTAAATTAAAGTATCAACCAACCTACATTTATTGGCGTAAAAACAGTTTCTAATCTTTGATAATAGCAGTAATAATTAAAATGCAGTTAGCTAACAAAACTGAGATATTTCTCTTTGATGCCCTGTCATTCTAAAGTTATGACTAAAGATGACCAATCTGAAAAACAGTACATGAATACATTTTTCTGGATATTGGTTAAAGAAGCAGCTGAGGCTGTACTAGAAAAAGAGGTTCAGGTTTTTTCTCCCTGACTAAAGTAAAAATTAAGTAAAACTAGAGAAGTATAATTTAATTAAATGATTCGAATCTATATTAATTTACTTTTAAATTGCAAGTTCAATAAGCCTTTTATAAAAATAAATGAAAATAGTATTTCTCTAGTACAAGGGAACAAATGTTTAAAATAGTTTCATAATTCATGTGCAATGTCTTCAATATATTGCATGCAATACGTTGTTTGATGTCATAATTTTATATGATTTTGTTGTTTTTTGATAGAACAGGGCTATTTTTAGCCAATTCATAATTTAGTCGGTAACTATTGATAGTATTCTGTCTAGAAACTTTCAGTAATGTAGAGAAAATTAAAATTCCAATATGTTGTTTTCCTGAAATTTTTGTAGGCAAAGAAGATTGGAAAAAAGAAATTGTAAATGGTTCTCGAAGCTTCTTTGTCTTAAAGGGTTTAACACCAGGAACAGCATATAAAGTCCGGGTTGGTGCTGAGGGCCTGTCTGGTTTTAGGAGTTCAGAGGATGTGTTTGAGACAGGTCCAGGTGAGGCACACCGTCCCAATTCCCTGTTGTAGTCAGAATCGTGGTAGACCAAGCACTGAAACGTTGAATTGCTTCTAGCTAAGAGATGTGGTAGCTAGCATCTTCGCATGTTTTTCTCATAGAGCGATGTCAAGTTGTTTTATAAAATCCTGAATAATGCCAGCACATTTATTATGTGCATTACGAATGTTTTTATCCTTTCAGTTCATTCTACTCATCTGATACTTACATTGGGGGCAAGATACTCACTGCTCACACCTTGATCCTTGTGCTCTGCGCTGCAGATGACCTATTTTATTTATTTCTAGTTAATATAATTAGATGTCTGTATTTGAATAATGTGTACTTTAAGAGAGCAAAGTATATATTTTTAATGCAAACAATCTGTATACGATCAGTTTTAATACAAAAAGCCTGAGCTAAAATGTTTGCATAATTAGAAGTGTGGTTTGATGTCTCACGTAATCTATTTATACCAGAGTTAATAGATTCCTACTTGTAAACCTTTCTGTTCCTGTCGTATGCCGTTTTTACATAGATTTTGATGTCACAGCTATATTCTCTCTGTCAGTAAGGCTGTTTCAGTTCCTTATGCACAAATTTCAGTCGTATTTCTTCATAAGCAAATCAGTAATGCTTGCTCATTTAACTCAGAGAAGGAGCTTTATTGGAAGTTTTTTGATATTATGCTGAATATGTCATTGCCATCACAGCATGTTCTTGGTCAGCTGATATTTTTTGTTGTGTGCTTCGTAGCCACTTCTACGCATTCCAAGCATTTGGTCAGTGCATAGTGATTGAGCAGTAGTGTCACCAACTCCAGAATATTATGATTTAAGAAAGTGGTTTAAATATGAAAATATGCTTGAACAATGTGCAATGAACATCAGACAACAAAGTAAACAATGAAAATGCCAGTTTGAAAGCAGGCACTTTCTAAAATCATAATTTTTGCTTTACTTTGTGCCATTTCTGTTCACAGTTTATCATGTTGCAGGAAAGCTTCAAAAACATGATGCTGAGTAACACTGCCAAGTAAATATGTATGGGCTAAACACAGAGGTTATTTATGCCAGAGACAGCTAATGGTATAAAAGTTGATCTGTAAAGTTTTATGCAAATACACATACAAAGCCTAAAGCCTCAATAAAGTGCGGATCAAGACTATAGTATAATTCAAAACAAGCTGAATGGAAGCCTTCCCAAAAACATCTCTCTGCACAAAAGGTACCGAGCCATTAGATAAAGAATCCTGTATGTACCTGGTCACTTTGGCTCATGGCCTTGAGTAGTTGAAGAGGAGGGGAATTTAAAGACACTCTTTTCTGCTTCTTGATAATGGAAAGGTTCAGTATCCAGCATTAAATTATACTTCTTAGCATATTTCTTGCAGAAAAGTATTGCATCACACTGTCTTCAGCCTAGATCAAAGCTTTTAAATACCACAAAAACCGAAGTGGACAAAGAGGAAAATATTGGAATATGGAATATTATCTAAATTAGGAATGAAACTGCAATATTTCATACATCAGGCTTTTGCCATGTTTTTCTTAATCACAAACATTCCTGTAGAGGATTTTCATAGTGTGGAGTTTTATCCTTTTAAGCATACCAGTGCAGTGTCTTGCATTGACCCCTACATTAACAGTGCACCAAGAGTAAATGTCTTTCTGCCTAAAGCAGATAATTTGTTTAGCATAAGCAGGGAATGTGCCATTTTTAAAGTTGCACTGAGATCTAGAAGCTCTTTCCTACTGGATATGCAATAAGTTAAAGAAAGCTGCATAAGTAAGTTTTGATCTTTACTCTTTGCCATCTATCTTGCTTATTTTTATGCATGAGTTGTTTTGCTTGATGCTATTTCTTATTACATTTGAATGTTATATGTGCTTTTGCATTTTGTCAGAGTGTATATTACACAATCTTTAATGCCTTATTATGAATGCATATATGCATAACTTGGAATAATTTTAACCACAATGTAGAAACAAAATTTTATTTTAATTTGATTTATAATTCAGAGGAAGATTGCCGTTGTGATTTTGTTTTCCTGAAATGATCCTTTTATATATTTATATATGGTATATGTTGTAAATAAAGTATAAATGTATATATTTATATAAGCTATATATTTATCTAACTTGAAGACATTTTTATCAAAAAATAATTTAAATTACTATGCATATAAGAAAGAGTCTGTTCCTAAAATACCAGAAAACATATTCTTAAATGAAGGCTGGGAAATCTCCTAACCGTAACTCCACAGTAGCCAGGCACATTAATTCATTTATCTTTTTGAATGAAAGTCAAGTCATAACTTATCCAGTAAAACCAAAAAGGGGAAAGAAAGTAAAGAATTAATTTTAGTGTAGTATTTCTAAAGTGGAATACACAGTGATCTTCCATATGGAATGGAGGGTAAATACTGTCTCTAGACATCAGAGATACTTTGAGTTTTCATCCAGTCTATGGAAGACCCTCAGGAATCTGGGACCATTGAGAGCTGATGATTCGAAGCTAGCTGTCTCAGACTTTGTCTTATATAGTAAATAACGATGAGAGGTCGCTTGAATTCTGGCCTGTAACTGAATATTGTTACATTTTATTAGTGCGTTTGCCAGCCCAGTGCAGCCTCTTTTCAGCTAGCTGCCTGCCATGCCAGGCTCAGATATTGATCAAGGGACAGCACCAGTGCAGGACTGTTCCCAGTTTGTTATCCAACATGTTTTGTAAGGAGGAGAGTTTACACTGTGTCACTTGGAATTGTAGCTAGAAAAACAGTCAATGCTCCACTGAAAATAGTTTCTCTCTGATGTGTTTTTATGAGCCTTCCCTTAAAAGCGTATCTTGTCTAAGGAGAGGTGGAAATCCTTTGGGGCTCGGGGACTTTCACATCTCTTTGTGTAAAGCTATTCATGCGCAAGTCTACGCATCTTCTCTAGCAGATATAGATGTACCCAGAGCATCCAAACAAAGACAGTGACCGAAGGTCTCAAATATAATCTGGTCCTAGTGCAAAGTGTGCACCAAGCTGAATATTACTTATCCTTATTAAAATTCTAGGTAATATACTGGCTGTGAGTGATCTGCTACCTTAACTCATGAAGCCAGAAAAAGCAGCAAATGCTGGATGAAAATGCCATATGAGTTATGTATAGAAAGTATTTTGCTTGTCACTCCCTATATTCGTGTGGGAAGGTGATCTTTGCCTCTATTTCCCGAAAAAAGCAAGGTCTATTGGGCAACTCTTCATAACGTTCCAAACTCTTGGGTTTTGAGACTGGAGGAGAAAGTGAAGAATGAGCAAGATAGGTTTGGATGAGTGTCCGTCTTCCTCCATGTCTTCTGTCTTATCCCTAACTCTTCTCACCCTTCCCACTTCCTCCCAACAGCAAATCCTAAGGCCAGTTGCCTGTAATGTGTTTCCAAACAGGGGAGTAGAAAATAAGCCTCACCAGGAAAACCTTCCTGCTGTGTTGGAGACCAGTAGGAGAGACCCAGCCACTGTCCTTATTGGTGACTGTAGTGTTTCCTGTGTATTTTGATTATCATTTACATTATTTTCCAGCTAGAGTCAGCATTTGCAGACAAGCAGTGCCAAGGAAAAGCTTCCCAATTGCACTGTGTTAAGTCTTCACTAATGCTAAATCATGGCAATCATGATAAATTGTAGGATGAGGTACAGGCTTGAGGAGAGGAAGAAAACATGATGCTTAATAAGGCTTTAAAGGATGCTTCATTGTTGATTTTCAGTTGAAAGTGAATGTTAGAGCCTTGAATGACCCATCTGCTTCCCCATTTCAGACTGATGGGAGTGCATTAGCTAATGACTACTGGCTCTTTATTCATTTTGAGAATGCAGTTGACATGTTTGCATGAATTATAATTTGCAATTTAATTTCCGTAGTTTAATTAATGTAAAATGGTTGAGAATAGTTTTGAGGTTTGTGGAAAGCAACATAGTACGTGCACAGATTTTGCAAAGCAGTTGCTAAGCTTAAATGTTGGCAATTCTTATATACTCAGAAGTAAGTTCTCTGCACATGTACTTGGAAACATTTTGAATAATGAAATTATTCAGAAAATACAGTATGACTATTTTTCTTAATACTGATTTTCATAGTGAATGTAATTCCTTAATTAATGAACAATGTATACCAGCTATTTATCTGAATTAACATAGCATTTAAATGCAGCAAAACATCTTGGTTTTTTTCTTTTATTCTCCAGCAATGGCAAGTCGGCAGGTAGACATCGCTACTCAAGGGTGGTTCATTGGTCTGATGTGTGCTGTCGCTCTTCTGATCTTGATTTTACTGATTGTTTGCTTCATAAGGAGAAATAAGGGTGGCAAATATCCAGGTATGATATATAACCATGAGAGTAAAAATCATATACATTAAGACGAATCCCAGGTTTACTGGGGAAATTACATTTGCTGCTGGTTTACATTTACATTGTGTACATGGTAAAACAGTCTTATCATTAGGTAGGCTTGTCAGGGGCAATTTGCCTATTGTTAGAAAATCTCAGTCTATTTAAGCATAAAAAAAAAGTATCTCCTTCATTCCTGGAGGGTCAGAATATTACCTTGCCTCTCTAGAGAGGTTTGAGCTTTGGTTGAGATGCTTGGTTCTCCCACTAGTACTGTACATTCCACTTTCTGAAGTCTCATGTAGCTAAAAAGGGATTCTTGGTGGAGAGAATTGAGTAAAGATAAGAAAAATTAGGAGATGAAACAAGTGAAGTGATGAAACTGACAGAAGTAGGGAACAGTTGGAACAAGACACCATCTAGAAGAGAGTAAACCACAGTTTGAGTAAAAGCGTAGAGGTCAGTTTGATGCTGAGGTTGTCATTACTCTGTGAAGATCCCTGCTATACCCTTCATTTCTCTGCTTCTGCATATATGCATATACACACACATATATAAAGGTAGACGTTGTGTCAAGGGTTGGGGCTGAGCCAGACAGTAAACGAATGACAAATGCTCTCTAATAACATCTCTTCCCCCACCAAAGTGAAAAGGGAATAAAGTAGAGAGACTTATGGATTGGAAAACTGGGGCTCTTTAGCCTTCAAAGGAGACGGCTGAGAGGGGACCTTATTACTGTGTACAAATATCTGAGGAGTGGATGTCAAGAGGAAGGAGACAATCTCTTTTCAGTGGTGCCCAGTAATAGAACAAGGAATAATGGACGTAAGCTAGAACACAGGAAGTTCCACCTCAACATGAGCAAAAATTTCTTTCCTATGAGGGTGACAGAGCACTGGCACAGGCTGCCCAGGGAGATTGTGGAGTCTCCTTCTCTGGAGACTTTCAAAACTCACCTGGACGCGTTCCTGTGTGGCTGCCCTAGGGGATCCTGCTCTGGCAGGGGAGTTGGACTGGATGATCTCTAGAGGTCCCTTCCAACTCCTGACATTCTGTGATTCTATGATTCTATGAGAAGAAAACTAAAACAACTTTAATTAAACCATAATAGTACTAATAAGGGCGTAAGGGAAAAAATGAAATATATACGAACCCGATATTGTACCCAAAGCCCCTCTGATAGCAACCACTATTGATGCTAGAGAGTAGGCGGCATGGGGAAAGCCCCAGGCTCATCAGCAGAGGGGAGCTTGATATGGGAGCCGGATTCAGGAACTCTGGCTCAGGATTAAAGTGGAGGAATAGACAGTGTCATCTTCAGACACCGGTCATTGAAGAAGAGGGCTTAAGCCCTGTGATCCCTCAGCTTTATACTGAATATGATGTATGTGGAATGGAATATTTTGTTGGTCAGGTTTGGGTCACCTGTTCTGTTCATTCCTCATGGGAGCTGCAACCTTTTACTTTCTAGTGACCCTTTTACCTCCCACCATCCCCAATGTGTTACACAGGATCCAGCAGTGACCTCGGTCACTATAGCAATAAGTATCAGCAAAAGCCTTTCTGCATCCCAATCCCTGGCAATAACTGTAAACATCAGGTGTTACTACTGTGCACACCGTCTGCAAAAACATGCTGCTAACTTGAGGAAGTGCAGCCTCTCAGAGAAGACTGAGCTGAAAAGTAGAATTTGTTCTGTTTAGCTCGAACCAGGACATCTTGACTGTACATAGGATTTCCAGATTCAGTATGTTCTCGTTTGTAGGAGTGACTCTAGAGCCAATTGTATTTCTTGTGTCATTGCAAATGTACCGTTCCACAGATAGTTAAAAATGCAGAGCACAAAGTTATTAACTCTTTTTCGTTGTACTTTTTAGCATGTCATCTTGATATTGCCTATGGTTTGAAAAAAGTAATGAATTATTTCAGCATGAAATTATAGCAGCCAGATACATTTCAAGGTATTTTTTGTTACTATAATTATAGTCTTAGAAAATACTGCCAGGGTGATTCATATAATCTTAAATGACAGCATATAAACTAATGATGTACAAATTAAGTGTGGAAATTACCAGAGTAAAAGATAAGAGATTTTATAATGGATTATATAACTGTATCTGCTAAACAAGGGGAAGATTAGAATAGTAGCCAGAAAAACAGAAATGAAAAGACAAAGGGAAGAACCATGAAGATAATTCTAATAGTCAGCGTATTATTTTACTCTTCCAAAAAACTTATTGGAATATATGTCTGCCTTCTGGGGTGCTGGAGGGTTTCTGTGTCAAAGGACACAGTGCCATGCAAGTGTTTTTATAGGGAAAAGTGACGTTCCTGGATTTATTCCCAGCAGTGAATGATGACTAAACCTGTAACAAGGATGTGCAAGAGATGTAATTTTATTAAATTTAGTATCCAGTTTAAGTGAGTTTGCCTTGCTTTTGGTCATGGTATAGAAAAGAAGAAATTAACGGACCACACCTATTTTTTTGAATATTAATAATTCTTAGAGTACTGTTTTAAATTCCCTGGAGTCTTAGTGCATGAAATGAAGGCAGAAAGCATATAAACAGACAGTGAAAACAAGTAAATCTGATTCAATTTTATCAGTCAGTATGAGAGGATTAAGAGGAAATATGGAGCATGGATAAGTAAATCTAAATTATTCAGATTTCAATAAACAAGAGCTCTGTTAATAACATAAGTAAAGGAAGTATTTTTGTAGGATTTCTCTTTAGAAATTAAAGAGCTTTATTAATGCAGAATGACATGCAGTATTTTGTACTTGAATGAAAATAAAATTCTATAACTAATTAACAGATCTTTTTCTTCAAAATAAAAAATGTAGCAACCTAAGGCCCCAGTTCAAAAAATGTTTTTTATTGAAACCACATCCCTACCAAATGTGAGAAATTAAGCTGTTAAGTTTCTCATCCTGCAGTTCCATGATAAAAATTGCTATTTCAAATATTTTAGTGAAGGAAAAGGAGGATGCACATGCAGATCCAGAAATACAACCTATGAAGGAAGATGACGGAACATTTGGTGAATACAGGTGAGTGACTGTTGTGGTTTGTCATGTTCACTGTTCATGTCGCACATGTACTGTATATAACATCACACTTATTAATTTAAAACTAACTTTTTTTTTCCGTGTTGACAAAGATTCAGTATCCAGTGTTGTATAAAGCTATAGACGGCATTTCCACCATGCCATTAAAAATAATTAAACATCCAAGCTTAGAATAAGCCATTCACTAGTGCAAGGTGAAATCCAGATTCAGACACAGTTGTCTCAAAGTGAGCAATCTGTATTTACAAGTCCATCCTTCAGATAACTAAATACCAGATACAGTGTTCTTTCGGTTGGAGCACATTTAGTGTTATGTTTTTTGAAAATATGTTTCTAACTGAAGCCTAATAAAGACAAACTTGTGTTCTACTGACTGGAAAGCAAATGCATTTAGAATGTCTGTGACTACTAACACCTAATCCAGTAACAGGGAAGGGATGTTATACACAGAGGTGAAGAAATGTCCCACAAGAAAAAAAATCTCCCTTTCATGTATTTCAGTACAAGATACAGAGCAAGCAGCTTCAAAGCATGCAACACAGCTCTGATTCGTGACTCTTTTCCCTTATTGTAAACATAGCCTAGCTGAATCTCCTGGCATTACTAAAAGCTTGCCTTGGCAAGTCTATTCATATAACAATTACGAGTATAGCTTATTAAACAAGCACCATTTTATTTTCTAAATATGTCAATAATATATTTTACATGGATGTTACATAGATTTTATAGTGCATTCCTGTGTCAAAAGCACTGTAAAAGCCCTTTATTATTTTGAAGATGTGGCATTTACAAATGTACATAGAAAAATCTTGTTTTTTCAAAAAGAATCCATTCTGTTGCCATAGCTTCTTCTTATAAGGGAAATGTGTGTCGTGATCTGACTGGAATAGATTTACAGTTCTGAATGCCAAAGAGCAGTTTCTGTTTATACTTCTTTGATTTTTTTTTAAATAACACTGTATTCTTAGGTTAATGAGTTCAGAATAGTATTTTATTATACCAGTAAATGCATATGGATATGGATAAATCAGCTGATAAAAGGGAAGTGTGAAGCAATGTTTGGAAGCAGAGGTAAATAAGTACTGTTTAGGTTTTCCTTGGCAATCCAGTTTGCATTCTTCTTTATTGCTCCTGTTTTTTGATAATTGGAACTTTCAGCAGCAGAAACAGAACTTCATACAGAATTGCACAAATGACATGACTTCAGTATGTGGTTTCTCAGGCCTAGAGTAAGACTATTGAAGTCTGCTTTCATGTGTGACCTACAGCAAGATTTGAATTTATCTCTGCATGTTTAAATGGCTTGAGTTAATCTGTAGAATAATCTAGTGCTTTATTAAATTATTTTACAATGCATTTATTTACCTCTTGTCTAGTGAATATGGACAGATGCATGCCAAGCTTTCAGTCTTGTTCACACAAAAGAGCTCATCCTATTTGCCATGCAAAAACTCCTTTCTAAAATGTGTTTCTGTGTAATTAGTCTATATTGGGCTTTCCTCTTTTTTCCTTAGAGACAGGGCAGCAGCAGCAACCAGTCAGATTACAGAAGATATCTTGGCACCCTCTCTGCACCCCAGCGTCACTGCAGTCACTCAGTTCCCAGTGTGTCTGCCTCACATGGCACTGGTCATGATGCAGTGCTTCTTTGAGGAAAAAGGGTATAGGGTTTCCCTTGAAAAAAAACATTAAAAAAAAGAGTAATTTTTGAAAGATCTAGGAATTCGAGTATTTTGACCTTTTTTCATCACTTCAGGTCCATGTCTGCTTGGACAGGAAAGAAACTGGACAAGGAAAAGAAAAGAAAAGGTAGCTGTGCCAATTCTCCTGAAGCAGACCCTGTCTTTACCAAAGCAAAGTCTGTGAGATCTGACAGATCCAGCTTCTTCAGAAGGTCAGGGGATCAATACTCCAGCACCAGATCAGAGACCTCCTACACCAGGAGGAGGGCTAGGCAGTCTTCAGAGCTTACAAGGGTTAGTTCTGTCTCTGCTTCCCTCTGCCAAGAGGAAAAGAGGTCAGACGAATGGAAGTACAGGCATGGCTCTAGACATCATGCTTCTGAGCAACAGATAATGGGGTCGGAGGAGAGCTCAGATTCTCAGGCAGGACAACCATCCCCTTTCCAGCAACCCCTCAGCAGCAACTCAGTTCATGGCTCACTGGCAAGGCAGCATTCTTCTCTCCAACACTGGTTCAGCCATGCCCCAGCCTACAGCTCAGATTCAGAAGATGCTCAGTGCTCCTACCACAGGAAGGTAAGACCTGCTACTACTCACTTCACTGAATCTGAAAAGAATTCATTAATGAAATCTGTAATTTTGCCTGAACTAGCTACTGTCTTAAAGGATGCTTTGACAGCAGCCAGACAAAGCATAACTTCTGCGGCACAGACTAGGCTCCGTTCCGTAAAGCATCCCAGAGTATCAATTACAGAAGTTCCAGTGGTTCCTCTAGAAGCAACTGGGACCAGTTCCCAAATTTCTGAGTCTGACCATGTGGACAATTTAAAAGATCAAAGAGCTTCTGGGAAGGAGAAATGTGAGGCTGACAAGGGCTTGGAGGTTGAGTCATCCCCTGAAGATGGAGAGATGTCATCTGAATCCCCTACAGAAGACCAAGAAGGGCCAGATCCTCTGCGTAAGTTTGACACGGCAAAACAGAATTACCTGTTCAAGCACATAAAGAGAACGTTAATGCTAAAATCTTCCAAATCTGAATGCCATTCAGAAGAGCTGCTTATTCCCTCTGGAGAAGTCAAGGTAGATAATGCACTTCCTATCGATTCAGCAGTGGAAGATCTTGTCTCTAGGATTTGGAGTAATCCTGAGGCAAAGCATGAAGCCCCGGCAGTTCTACATAAGCTCTATCCTTTCCCAGTGCATAAAGCTGCTTTGTGGGGCACTTTGCCTCACGTGGACAGAGCATTGGTTACTAGTGATTCTATGCCATCGGTGCCTGCTAATGTGGATGCTTTGCCTAAAGATCCTACCGATAGAAAGATTGAGGAAGCAATTAAAAGATCTTTCAAGTTAGCTGCAGCCCAGCTTGGAGTATCTATCTACTGTGCTTACGCTTCTAGAGCATTACTAATATGGTTGGGGGAAGAACGAGCTAGATTCAAAAAGAAATGGGTCCCATCTGGTGCCACGCAGAGGAAACGCAGGCTCTGTAAAATTGCAGCTAATTTTATTCATGATGCAGCTGAGGATTCTCTTAGACTCACTGTTAAAAACATGGCATGCCTCACTGTAGCCTGGAGAGCTATATGGCTCCGTCCTTGGACCTCATCACTAGATCTAAAATGTAAATTGCTGTCTTTACCCTACACAGGCGGCAAGCTATTTGGTGAATCCTTGGTCCAGATCATGAGGGACTTCTCAGAACGCAAACACTGCTTACATCAACTGAAAAAAAAGAGCTCTGGTGGAAGCTCTTCATTTTCTTACCCTCACAAGTGTCTGAGCTCCTTTCGTTCTCCTCCGAAGTTTAAAGGAGGGAAGGGAAAGTATAAGGTCTCACAGTCATTTCATGCCAAATATGAAAGGTCATCTCACTTTCAGAGAAACACCAGACCATCAAGAGGAACTTTCTAAAAACACAGACTTGCTTCCTCCTTTCTCAGGAACTGTGGGGAGTGAAAGACTGGGAAATTCATACTGAATAGACTTCAGTATTTCTGGGCAAGTAAGCCCAATGCTTAGAAAATAAATTATTTCAAAATAAGATTTAAATTGTTAAATTACTTAAATCTTAGTGACTAATTAAGATGTTCTGCAAAAGTAATAACTTAATTTTAGGGAAGGCTTTTGTCACATTCAGTTTCTGGGCTTCCCAGGATGCCTTGGACTTGTTTGAAGTTTTGCATTCTCCCGCTTCATGGAAGAGCATACTTTCTGCAGAACCAGCTGACATCATGTTTTCCTGCCATAGCCATCTGCTGAAGGAAATAGTGCTTTACACAAATTACAGGTGTTTCAGGAACCACAGAATGACCAGTTACACTGTTTTCCTGTGACTAGAGGAGTATCTGCACTTTTACGTAATAAGGGAAAGCAGCACCTTTGTAGCAAACTGCACTACAATCCCGGTGATCTCCTGAATCGTAGGAGGCTGAGACAGGAAATTGTGGACAGTCAACGCTTACACCAAGTAACTGAAAGAAATACAAGTACCACAACTCTATGATCATTTAAATTAAAATTATCTCAGACTCTTGTTCAGATCAGTGTATGTGTATAAATTAGTCTAAATCTCCATCCTGGGCCCTGAATCCAGACTTGTGGATTCATGGGTAGGGAGAGACTGCAAGTGTGCATTTCCTATTTAATTTCATCTCATTGCAGTCTGCAGACAAGGCAACTACAGTAGTAGGACTGCTAATGTGGTAATTCAGGATGTTTACACATTTTGTTGAATTATTTTGCCTCTTTTCCTCAACATTTTGTCAGACAGAATATTTTCTGTAGAAATTCTTGGATATGCTATGGGAGATTTTTTGGAAATGATTGGTGAAGAGTTCTGAGATTGCTGGATAATATATTATTCTTTTTTCTGCTGAGGTGATTAACAATGAGAATATATCTTGTAACTACAATAGTATTTTTTTCTCTTGTAGTTACTCAAGTTTTGTTGCAGCTTAGGTGTATTTCCAGGGGAGGGCTAGCAATGACTTGTGCCTCAGCACTGTAATTCTAAGCTCAGTCCCTTCTAGTGCAAGAGATGATGCCAATGGACTGCCTGAAGAATTCTTGTCTCTGAGTAGTCCAGTTGGATTCGGCAATGGTCTTACAGTGCTCTCATTTATACACACGTGCTTTCTTTGAGAGTTCTCATTTTAGTGAACTTCTGTGTCACTGTTTTTTGAATCAGGGCTTCAATTTCCCTTTGTATAATTTTTCACCGGATGTAACAAAGGTGAAAAGTTGGTTGAATTTCTCTCAAGCAGGAGTGAGTAAGGTTCTTTGACTAACAAACTTTTTTTCAACCCATTGCCTTTCAAATATAGAGCTTAATCTTTCAGGTTTTGAGTCTCTGCCAGGATTGAAGACTGGATATTACAGAGATGCTGAAGAAAAACTACTCAGAAAACTAATACACATGTACTTTTGTCTTAGGTAGATTAGAAATAGTAAAAAGTTTTGAAGTCTGGATTGATACTGGTGCATAAGTGTATAGGGACAGGGTTTTTCATCTGCACAGTCCTATCAGTTTAGGAGCATGAACAGAAACCTGCCAGGTATTGGGGCAGAGGTTCTCCTGGACCCTGCAGAGAAATCCTAATGTAAGGTACTTCTGTGGCTTTACATGACTGCTTACACTTAAATATTTCTGGCCTGTTGACCCGAGAGCACAGAGAAAAGGAATTTACTGCCGACTGAAAACAGTCTACATCCTCTTTCTGCATCCAACAGCCCAGAATGCTTTACCCTTTTTGTTTGTTTTATGTTGCCTTTCATCTGACAGTTGTGTTATAAGGAAAAGTAGTATATTGCTAACCATATATTGAGTCTTTTTGCATGTCTATGAATGTGGCAAAGTTTAGTGGGAACTAGTTGCCTGCTGGACTGCAGAGGCATCGTAAAACTGTCTTCCCCATTCTGACTGGTTGCTGCATGTTCCCATATCTAAGGAAGAAAAATTGAAAGGTTGAAAGAAGAAAGGAGATTTCAAGGTACATATTTCTTTCAATAACAGATGAGCTTCTGAAGTGGAAGTAAGGTTTTTTTAAAAAAAATAATTTTGTACTTTGCACTTGCATGTTATTGTTACCTCCATACATCTTATCTCTCTTAACCATTAGCTTCAAGTTTAATATGTGTTTCATTAAACTAAGAAGAAGAAATGTGTATTCATATATTAGCAATTGTTATGAAAAGTATTTATATCATGCTTTTAGAGTATACTTCAATATTAAATACTGTTCCAACTAAAAGGGCAAAAAATGTGTGTGGTACATATCAGTACTTAACAAAATGACTGTTACATATCAGTCTTCATTGAGAAACTTTCATCCTTAGAAAGCTACTAGTATGGTATTTATTTATCAAATAAATAGTAAAAGCATCACTACACTTAACTTTCATGGCTGTCTGATCTAAATACAGAATTCATACCCATTCTCACCTCTTGTTTTGTTCCTTCCCAGTACTTGTTGTCTCACGAATAATTTTATGCACTGCATATATGACACTTTTCAAAAACTTTTTCAGTTCTCCACTGTAACTTTAGTCAATCCAATTTGCACTTTACTTTTTATTTCATGATGTTACACTAGGTAAGTATAATAGTAATCAAGCAAAACCACAAGCGAAAACTAAAAGACATTTTGAGCTATCCTGGTTGCATTTTGGAATAGTTTTATGAACGCTCGAAAGCAAGATTAGCATATCCTATACATACTGTATCAAAATTTATGGCTCTAACATGTTTTTTGAAACACAGTATTACGTATTCTGCAGCCTAAAGTTTTCTATAGCTCTTTGGGCATGCATATTCTAAAGGAATTCAGTGACTTTTGCAGTTTACTTCTTGGTGGCAGACAGAAAATATAGTAATACGCACAGAGCACCAGGGTCCTTTCTCTGTTTTGCACCCCTAGGGTTGCAAAAGTGCTGTCCAAAACATTGAAGTCTTCATTTTTTTCTCTGCTTGTTGTTTTGCTTTTTCTTCCTCAGTTTCTTTCCCTTCTACCCAAAATATAATGTTTGTCTAAAGCAAGATTCCTAATCCAGTTGGATAAAGAATAAATGGTAGCATGGCATTTGTTTCCTTTTCCTGAATAAGGAGTGAAAAGCACCCTGGATAATCCCACATCTTTCTCCACTGCCAGACTCTTGGCAGAACTTCTTTCTGGACTTGTATAGTCCAAAAAGGGAGGGAATTCCTAGATTCAGATGTGATTTTTTCATCGACTGTAACCATGCTCTTACACCAGTGCTCACCCCTGTGCAGGTACACTCCTGAGTAAATCTGCAGTTTTATTTATTTTTAATTATAGAGATAGTTGACTCTGCATCCTTACTAAAATATGGAAAAGTCATAGACACAGTGCACCCAACTGTGTAAGTATTTCTTCATTGTTTGGCTTGCACATAAGTTTTATTTTCAAAAATGCAAACACAAAAACCCTAAGTGCAGAAGTTCTTGTACCTGGATTTATATGTTACAAATTAAAATCAAGATTTATATGGGATCAAACACAAAAATATGGATATTTTCAATACAGTGATGGTGTATTATTTATTTAATGTATTTTCCAGCTTAGCAAATTACACTGAACAGGGTTACACTTTAGAATATTTGCAGTTTCCTGACTAGTTGGAATATGGTACAAATGCAATTTTATTTATTTTCATTCTTACATATTAACATGTAAGCAGTTATGAAGCTACTCATCTAAAATTAAACAGCAAAATATATGTGCAATGTTCTTTACTAAATGCTACTACCCAGAAAGCATTAAACTGAATACTTGCAGGTCATTCTTTAGAAATAGGACCTGGTACAACTTCAAAGTGAGAGTCTGGTCTTCGTTTCTTTTGTATAATATGTTACAGTGACTCTGATGCTCTCTGATGAGGGCGATGGAGAAACTGCATCACATGTGATTTTTAAACACTTGATTCTGTGTTCAGTTTTTTTTAATATAGGGTCCTTCAAGAATGAACTCTGCTCAGTAATGTCTCCATAATCTGCTTGTGTTTGCAGCATTACACACATTTGTATTTTGCTGCTGGATACTTGACGTGCAGTAGCATTCTGTTAAATGTTTACCAGCCTATATGTTTGCAATATCAGTGAGCACAGTAGATCAATGATACGATATTTGTCCTTGTGCCATGTACACAGCAGTAACTCAAGGCAAAGTCAAGACTGACAGAGTCAAGTTTAGAGTTTTTGTCTTCGTGCATTTTCAACACGAAGGTTATCTTACATGTTAATGATAGATCTTCCTAGCACTTCTTTCTTGTGTATGCACAGAAGAATAAAATCTCTAGTATGCTTTTTCCATAAGTAGATGCATATTAGAGGTGTACTTCTTTTAGGATCTCAAAACTTAAGAGTCTTAAAAAAAAGGTGGTGAGATGAGGAGAAGCAGCTTGATGGAAGGTTGGTGTGATGGTTATCTAGCAACAGTGAAATGTTTCTGAACAGGGCATTTGTTGGCTAACAATGTAATCTGTGTGACCTTGTGTGTGCTGTATATATGTGGTTTCTCTGAGTGTTCAAAGATATTCATTAGGGAAAAAAGAGAAAATACAGTTATTGGGAGAACTAAGGTATTTGGGTTTACATATTTCAGAATTAAAATGATTTGCTGAATGCATATTCAGTCAAATGTTGTGAATATAGTAAATATATTTTCCCTTGATATTCTATGCATGTTTCTTTATATTTTCCGTAAGTCAGGAGTCTTTAAATAAAAATACACTTACTCTTGTGTACCATATATGCAAATAAAGTCAAATGTTCTGTTCTGGACAACCTGAAAATGCAGGTGGCAAGATCGGTTTTTTAATTATACATACTTTAGAGCTGCTGACGAAATCTTCATCTTGAAACTGAAATGCAGCGTAAAGGATTCTGAAAAGAGCCCAACTACATCTATTTCATGAAATACAAGCTTACCACAGCTGCAGATTTATTTGGGGATTCTGATGGTGCTGCAGCTTTCCCACCGAGAAGGGAAAGACCACAGTCCTTTTCCACAGGGATCTCTCCTCCGTGCCTTTCCTTCCCTTTCCTTTCCTTTACTTTTCCCGTTGTCCTCCAAATCACCACCATCATTGTCAGAACGTGTTATCAGTTATGGATTAGGATAAGAAGGTTGATCTGATAAGTAATGACAAAAACTAAGCATGCTCTTAACTGCTCAGCGGTAGCTACTGTAAGCTAAGTTGTTGCTATACCTGTGTACATTAAATGTTTTAGCAATTTTAAGAGCAAATTATTATTGATAAAATACTGATCACTATCAGGATATGGACTTTGCTTTTCTTCTTAGGCTATTTTCATTTGTTTCTTCTGCACCCTTTTAATGGAATATGTAGGTCTCTTGAAAGGTAAGGTTGAAAAATTGCAAGTCTGGCCTGCATTATGTAACAAATTATTTGAAATGCAGAATTTTTATTTTCTTTATACTAGTAAAGAAAATCAGTATATTTCATTTAACCGATTTCATTTTTCATTCATGTTCAAGGAGTCAAAGAAAGTAAGAAGTTTAACAGACTAACTTCACAGCACATCATAAGCTTGTTACTTTGGAGAACAAATAAATTATTTTTTTTATAACTTTTCAACCCACTTTTTAATGCTTGCAGTTGCATCTAAATTGCTTCCAAGCCAAGGGCCCAAGTCTTATCATTGAAAAGTCATGCACGGTGGGGAAAAAAAAAAAAAGGGAAAAGAAACCACAATCTCCCCCTTCCACTGAAGACATTCTCTGTTTAAACCATCCTTACACCATGTATTCATGTCAACTGCATCATATTGATTTGTCTCTACAATGTGATGTGGGTTTACTAAAGGATTATAGGGCTGCACACATGCTCTTTATAAACGCTGCATGCATGACTGATTTTGACTTAATATGTAATGCATCAGTTAATTCCTTTTGTCTGTCTGTTTGTGTCTCCAGTGATGCAGAGGACCATAAACCTCTAAAAAAAGGAAGCCGGACGCCTTCAGACAGAACTGTGAAAAAAGAAGACAGTGATGATAGTTTAGTTGACTATGGAGAAGGTGTAAATGGTCAGTTCAATGAGGATGGTTCCTTTATTGGACAATATAGTGGTAAAAAAGAGAAAGAACCTGCAGAAGGAAATGAAAGCTCTGAGGCTCCTTCTCCTGTAAATGCCATGAATTCATTTGTGTAACCACAGAACTCTATTCCCTTGTATCTTCCGTTTGTTTAAAGCACTTGTACATCCTCCTTCTCATACTATGAACATGCAGGTAACGGAGCTCCTCACCCTGAGACGTTAATGCTATGAGAACATGCAGGTCAATACAGTTACACAGCATAATGACACATTAAGTGGTATGTTATTACAAATTAAAATACGAAATTCAAGTTTTGTTCAAACTTTTTTTTTTAAAGGAACTGACACAAAAAAATAACATTGACTTGTAATTTTATTTCCTGTTGAACCTACGTATAATGCATGGGAAAAAATGCTACAGATTTCACAGATAATCTCGTGTACACTATAAAAACATGGTTCGACAATTTGTTATGCAGTCCTCAGATGAATCCCTGGATATGAATTCCGTTTTCATTGTCAGAGTGTTATAGTAGTATTATATAGAACTTCAATGTCTTTGTGGACATTGTTGTGAAATTGGTGACTTAATGTCTAGCTATCATATGTCTTTTTGCAAGACAGTTAGGAAGAGTATGTACAGTATATAATTGCTAAATGATTTAAGTATGACACTTGCATTTGCTGATGCTTAATGAGACCCTACTATCTGCTCTTTGCTCCTATTACTTTATAGCCTTTTTAATCTATCAAGTATTACAGCAGTACAGTGTTCTATCTTTACATCAAAACACATTGAATTGATTTTAGGGCATAAAAGATACGCATTGCAATGCATTTTGGAATTTGTACAGTCACTGAAAGAAAAACTTTAAAAATGAGAGAAAATATTCCAGAAAACACAGGGCAAAATACATTCAGTGCCTTTATACAATATGCATTCCATAATGCGCTGTACGACTAAATCAGTTGGTGCAGTAAACTGTGAGTAGCAGACTACTATCATTGCCAAATAAAGTAAAAATGTGAAGAAAAAAAAAAGTGTTATGGAACCATTATGCTAAAAATGGAAGGTTTAAATATTTTAAATAACACAAGAGTATGATTTTTTTTCCTTTTAAAATTAAAATAAATGCTTTTGAGACAGTTACAACACAACATGTTTTCATGGCCTTAGAAGGCTTTAAAAAATGAAGATGAGGCAACCAGAATTACATTATTTACTAACGCAGAAAGGTATAAGCTCTTCTAAAATGAATTCTTAAAGAACTAAACCAGCTGACTACACCAGTGAGAGCGCATTTCCCTCTGTGTCCTGGCCTGATCAGTGTGGCAGCTTTGTAATTATCCACCCCCTGCAGCAGTGCAGCGGTGACCGCTCGGAACCACAGAATTCAATCTGACAAGTGCTAATATGGTTTAGTGGTAAAAGATTACCATTATCGGTTACAAAATTATTTTCTCACAGACTATATCAATCAAATGTTTACCTCCAAGTATAAATTTTTATAACAACCTATGGTTGAAGGAATGCTCAGTTTCATTTGCCAATAAATTGGTTTTTCATAACTTGCATCAAGTTTAATTTTAAGTAAGCTTTTTATATGTAGATATTTTGTTGAATTTGTAAATACACTTAAAGCGTAGATGCTATATGCTTCTAGGTGTTACAGACAAATAAAACAAGAAAGCTTATGTTGTACTGTGTAAGAAGTACTATAGCCAATGGTGTGCATGGTATTTTAAAGCATCTACTTAAATATTTTTAATTTTTTTTTGCTGTGGAAACGAAATAGTGAACTGTTCTGCTTATTTACTGCAGATTCCTAATTAAACCCTGCAGAGCTTTTGCCAGTGCATTACATTAGACCATAGTACACCTCGCAGCTTTCATGTATATATTGTAGGTAAAGCACAACTGGAGTAATCACAACTGTAAGCTAGCTGTAATAAGCTTCTTTCGCACCTTTGAGCTTTCCATTGATCATTTTTCTTAACTGAACTGAACTGAAATAAGAAATGAATTCTACAAACATTGATTACAAAGCACAAAGAGAACATTTCTTAGTAAGATTTGCCAATGGTTTTGGTAAAAGAGAAATATAATTTTGCTCTTATTTAATTGTAGATGCTGAATTATCTGTGCATGTGGGGGTAAACATACAGGCTCACTTCTGTAATAGTGCGACAGATTTTGTATTAAAAATAAATGTGGTTTTAAAATATCACTGTTTGTTCTGTTTACACTAGCTGTAAAAATCACATCTGATTCACCATGTAATTAAGAATTCAAAGTGGAAAAAAGCATGAAACAACTCTGGCAGAAGTCGTTCCCATGATGTTATAGGACTTTACTTACTGCAGCCAAATTTTTTATGGGAAGTTGCATATATTTACTTGCTACCATTTGAAAAAATGTGAATTTGTCTGACCATTTCCCGTTGAAATCTCCTGGTATTTACATTTTACTTCCATGGATGTTTTACTTAGTCGTATTTCTGCAAAGAAAAAAACCACAAAGACAGTACTTGCAAGAGTGAATAAGAGAAAATAAGAATGTTTATTTGAAATTAGGAGCCCTCAGATAGGATCCCAAATCAGGATTTTGTGTCCTAAAGGCATAGTCTGACCTGCAGAATTCTGGGCGTCTGTTTTTAAGCAGTGCATGAAGTGAGGAAATTTTAATTATTGTCTTTTACAGTACACAAAATCCATTGCAATGCTCTTTTCATATCTTGTCTATTCTGTGTATGAATGGAAACAGGCTGAACAGGAGGGCAACTGCTCTGCAGAGAAGACTGCAGGAGAGCCGTGGATACCCAAGGGATACAGATGCTTCAGGAGATACATCAGAAAGTTGATGTTTGGCCATGATGCTTGAAGGAGGGATTTTATCACTGAATCAGAAGCCATTCTGTCAGCCCTCCTGTGCATAATTGGAAGCCCCTGGCTGTTCCAGCTTCTGTCATCTGCATAGTCTCAGTTCTGGCACCTTCAGATATTGGGCTGCCTGTTGGTCTGTACAGGTACCTGTTGATTTTTCCAGCAACGTGCGTTGACTGGGAGATGTGAAATACAGATGTTTCTATTTTGATTTAAGAATAATTCCTGAAAAGAGGGGTCTGAATTCCCTAGGCTTTGTTGAGACAGAGTAATTCATATGATAACCATTTTTGGAGACACACGTACGTTCTTTGTGCATGTTCCCCACAGTGTACTAATACATATAGTTGCTACATTTTCCTTTTAGTGATATACCTTTGCTTTTGGTTTTATTCTCACTGAAGTGATTGTATAAATCCAGAGGGAATTAAAGAGGATACCCCAATGGTAATTTTTCTTGTAATCTTCTATTCTCACATTGCTCCTAGGAAAATACAGTTTCCTCATGGCTCCACATTGCAGAGGCAAAGTGGCAAAATATTTCGGAACCTAATTTTCTTTGTATGCTGTCTGGCCTGTTTTAAGACAGAACCTATAGATTTAGTATATGAAGAATTATTTTCTGTGTTATGAAAGTGTTTTCTTCTCTGAAAGAAGAACTAGGGAGAAAAGCAGGAAGAGGATGAGGTTTCCATAATTTCAGAAAAATAAGTGTCCTTTGTTGTGTTTCTATCTCCCTCCCTCCCTCAGTCTTCCCCCTCCTACTACCTTTGGAAAGACCATTTCAGAGAGCTGGCAGAAGCAACAACTGCTATCACAGGAAGATGGAAATAACTGAATGTGCTACTTGTGTGAATCTGCCCCCAAATGATGCCCCTTGGGTCGTAAATAAATCCAACAGGCCATGATTTTTTAATCTCTGAAGGGATCTCTTGCTGCTCTTTGTACACATGAAGTGGAAACTTTAGACCAAACTGTCAAGATAAGTGCATGTCAACAGGACTTTGACAGACAGTGGATGTGATCCATCGTGACTGTAAACAAAGAGGAAAACTATGATCCTTGTGAACTCACTACTTCTGGCCACAAAAATATAAACAACGTTCCTTACTATGCTTACATGTAGATGAGCTGCTAAAAAATTAAGATAAATTTTAATAACTGAAAAATGGATCCTTCATTTGGAGTTGGAGAAATTTGCCTAACTGTGAATTTGGCAGCACTGGCTTTGTCCCCTGGGGAAGCCCTGTGGGATAAAATTGAAGCCAGCTTGCAAGTAATGGGTTTTCAGATGTTACAAATTGGAGATTGAGGCAGGGCAGGAGACAGCTCCCGTCACTGGGACCTGGCCAGCCTTTTGTCCTGTTCTCCCTTACCCTCAGGTCCTCAGGTAAAATAAAAGGATTTAGATGTTAGTGTGGTTTCCCTGTCACCTGAAAAGAAAAACACCGAAACACCACAAAACAAAACATGGCATCATGTAAAAAGTCTGATCTGCTGCTGTAAATTGGGTTTAATTCTGCCTGGCTTTCTATTACATTTTGGATATAAGTGAAAAGGAGGAAGATTACCCAGTCCCCAGCCAGCTGTGTTGTACAAATATGCTTGCCTGGGTTTTCAGACCTCAGCCTTCAAACAGGAAAAGTTTAGACTGCTTAATTCTGGTGCTGAACATCTTAAAAATTGCTAGGTCTCATGCTGTATTAAGGAATGAACTACAGTTCCCTCTGATAATAAACTGTACTTGATATGTATCTTCCAGAAGGTGCTGCCCTGTTTCCCAGTCAAAGGCCTCCAAAAAGGGATGCTTTGGCCTTGAAACCTGGAATCTTGTCTGACAGAGGATAGCAGTCCATTCTGTATATTGCTTTGCCTTGTGTTTGCAAAGATCTAGAGGGCTTCAAGTATTCATAGGACTAAGGGGACAGATTTAAATTTTCTAAATAGCAATATTCAGGATATGTTCCAAGCAGATGGTCTGCAATATATGTGCTGTCAGGAGAGAGGCCTCACACTCATGCCAGCATAAAAAGTTAGCCTGTCCGGCATAGTAGGAAGGAAGGGATGCAAAAATGGAACTGCTGGGATAGAGAAAAAGAAAGAAAAACGGTATCATATTTGAGGTTTCCTGTAAAGATTTGAGAAACAGCCAGTAAGATAGCTGGCCTAGAGGGGAAAAGGAGAGAAGCTGCCAAAGGCTGCTGTACCCACATGGGAGAGGCAGCAGGAGCCTTTGCTGGTCTTGAGCAGCACAACCTGCTTGGTGTAGAACAGACTTTGTCGACAAACAACATATAATAGATTGATAGTATGTCATTCTCCTTCCAGGCAATTTTATAGTTTGGTTAGTTTATATTTATCCAGCCATTGTTTGAAGCTGTGTAGGAATCTAAGAAAACTAATCTTAACTAATCTTTGAAACTTGTGTCAAACTCAGTTGAAAATTAACTCCAAAGCTGAAATACCAAAATCAACATTTCTGAAGATTCTTCAGAAAAAAAAGTT